TTCTCAGATATGTCAGATCCATACTAAGTGGAAGGGGAGGTCTTGTGTAAAATTCTCTTCAGTATACTGTTTGCTGTATGATGCCAGATCTTAAATGATTTCTGATTCATTCTATACAGATAGTAGAATAAAACACTTTTTTTTTGCTTCCTTGCCATTTTCTGCCTGGCCATTTTCATAGCCTCTTGAGGATAATATATTTCATAAAGAGTCAAACAAATGAATGAGTGAAATGTATCCATGAGAGTGAATTCCTAGTGTTGTCTTTTCTGACTGATTATTCTTTTTTTTTTTGCATTCACTTAAGTTGTTAGGTAGTTCGTTGAATTAGCCAGCATCAAAATAGTGCTCTGTTTTCAATGGACAAAGTAAAAGGTATACATGTTACTTTAAAATACATATACACATAATGGTTTAAGCCATTAAAAGGTTATTTCTGCTTTAAAAGCAAAGCAATGTGAATATAATTCATTGCTCTTAATATTATTTTAAAATGTTGCTTTAGGAAGGATTTTATCTCTTCCGTGTATTATACTTCAGATATTTTGTAGATTTATTGCTGAGTTTAGAATGAGAAAGTATAGTTTCTAACTAGGGAATGTATAGGGATTGTGAAGATGAAACAATCATCAATGCATAACTCTACATTATGCATTCATAACTGGCTCAGTGAATTCTGGCCATCGTTATTGAGGTTGGAAAGTACAGGTAGGAATTTTCGAGCTCTACAAATGTTGTGGAACTGTGATAATGTGGCCAGTATTCACCAATTTGATACCTTCCAGATGTGTTGGTCTACAGCTTCCATCCCTTCCAACTGAACTACAAGTCCCAGCCCTATCTGGCATAGGCATTGCTAAGGAACGCTGTGAGTTTGTAGTCCAATAATATCTGGAAGGCTACATGATTCCTCTTATAGCCAATGAGTATTGCTAGCTAAGATTATCAAGGTAGTAATATAACACCCTTGGATGACAACAGCTGCATGAAGGCTGCTATAGGACAATTGTGTGCTTTGTACACATGCCACACATAAAAACAGCAAATCCTCAATCATACTACCTTGCTTTTCAAAACAAGGCAGAACAGGTTCCTTCAGTGGAAAAGATTTCCACAAACAACAGGTGGAATAGAGACTTCCATAATGTGTGAGACCAGAAGTGGAGAGCAAGTGGCCCTCTAGATATTTCTAGACTGCAAGGCCAAGAGAGCCAATAGGAAGGAAGCTGTAGCTCAGACAAGACCCAGAGGGCTGCATGATTCCCATCTTTGGACTTCAGAAGAGATTTTCAGAATGGAACAATTGATGCTCCAACCACATCTCTCCATCCAACTATGAAACAGAAAAGATATAATGCACAAAATCAAAAACTCATCGTAGTTGTTGTGAATTGTGGCCATTCTCTGTATTGCCGAACTGACAAGGAAAGCTGAAAGGGGAAGCATTGCTTTCATTTCTAGTCCTATGAATGTCTGAATGAATCCTTCAGCAAAAATACAAATGGGACAACATTAGACAAAAACCTCTCTGTTCTGTAGGAATCCTACTATTTCTGCTATTACCACTATTTAGAGCTGCTGTGTACATTGTTGCCATTGTTAAAACCTTAGAGTCATGTTGTCTCATTATTGTTGTTGTTGTCACCATTATGGAAGTCTTACAGGACACTAGTCAGGTGGTCAGACAATAACATTATTGTCTTTTGGCAGAACAGACATTGGAAATATCTGAATAAACCCAGACACAACAAAGTGTTGTGCATCCCCTGCCCACAGTGCCTTTATCCTAAACCTTTACTGTCCATAAATTTACTATATTAATTTGTATTAATGTGGCACTTTAGAGCTCAAGTCTGGTGTCTACTGGCTCTAGACCTTGCAGACTCTAACAAGGCAACTGTCCATTATTATTATTATTATTATTATTATTATTATTATTATTATTAAACTTTATTTGTACCCCGCTAGCATCTCCTGAAGGACTTGATGTGGCTTACAAAGGCCAAGGCCTCAACACAGCAACAACAAACAATAACAATGCAAGCAAATTAAAAACATAAGCAATAACACCACAAAACATTACACTATTACACAATAAAATCAGGGCCGGGCCAATGATGGGTACAGGTTAAAAGTGCTGGGTGTGTGAGGTGGTATGTTGGAGTTCTGGGCAAGTGCAATGTGCAGAGAGTATTAAACTCTAATAAAGTGCTTCTGGGACAGAGTGCTGGAGATTATCCTATTCTGGGAAGGCACATCGGAATAACCAAGTCTTCAAGTTCTTCCTAAAGACTGCCAACGTGGGTGCTAGTCTAATGTCTTTGGGGAGGGTGTTCCAAAGTCGGGGGGCAACCACAGAGAAGGCCCTGTCCCTCGTCCCCACCAAACGCGCCTGCGACGCAGGTGGGATCGCGAGCAGGGCCTCTCCGGATGAACGAAGTGAGCGCGTGGGTTCGTAGACGGAGATGCGGTCACGCAGGTAGGCAGGTCCCAAACCGTTTAGGGCTTTGTAGGTAAGCACCTGCACCTTGAATTGGGCTCGGTAGGTAAACGGCAGCCAATGGAGCTCCTTAAACAGGAGGGTTGACCTCTCTCTGTAAGGAGCGCCAGTTAACATCCTGGCCGCCGCCCGTTGAACCAGTTGGAATTTCTGAGCCATTTTCAAGGGCAGCCCCACGTAGAGCGCATTACAGTAATCCAATCTAGAGGTGACCAAGGCATGGACCACCCCGGCCAAATCAGCCTTTGCGAGGTACGGTCGCAGCTGGCGCACAAGTCTTAGCTGTGCAAAAGCCCTCCTGGACACCGCCGACGCCTGAGCCTCAAGCGTAAGTGATGAATCCAGGAGGACACCCAAACTGCGGACCTGTGACTTCAGGGGGAGTGTAACCCCATCCAGCACAGGTTGCCACCCTATACCCCGATCCGGTTTACGATTGACCAGGAGGACCTCTGTCTTGTCGGGATTGATCTTCAGCTTGTTCTTCCTCATCCAGATAGCCACAGCGGCCAGGCACTCATCCAGCACTCGAGGGGCCTCCTTGGAATTGGGTGGAAATGAGTAGTAGAGTTGTGTGTCATCTGCGTAGAGATGGCACCTAACTCCAAAACTCCGGATGACCTCTCCCAGCGGTTTCATGTAGATGTTAAAAAGCATGGGAGACAGAATAGAGCCTTGCGGGACCCCACAGGTCAAAGGCCAGGGGTCCGAGCAGGCATCTCCCAGCTTCACCATCTGGGATCGACCCTCCAGGAAGGACCGAAGCCACGACAGAACCGTGCCCCCGAGACCCATCCCAGAGAGTCGTCCCAGAAGGATACCATAATCAATGGTATCGAAAGCCGCTGAGATGTCCAAGAGTACCAGCAGGGTCACACTCCCCCTGTCCAGCTCTCTGCGGAGGTCATCCACCAAGGCGACCAAGGCCATCTCGGTGCCTTGGTCAGGCCTGAAGCCAGACTGTGACTGATCTAGGTAGTTGATGTCCTCTAGAAAACCCTGGAGCTGGAAGGTGACCACCCACTCCAGCACCTTGCCCAAAAAAGGGAGGTTGGAGATCGGCCTGAAGTTGTTCAGCACCGTGGAGTCAAGGGAAACCTTTTTAAGGAGTTGACGAACCACTGCTTGTTTCAGTTGAGATGGAAAAACCCCCTGCTCCAGAGATGCATTAATGATCAACACAAATCAATCTACCAACCCCACTCTGGCCGATTTAATTAGCCAAGACAGGCAAGGGTCTGGAGCCGACGTGGTCGCCCTCACAGCACCAAGGACCCTCCCTTTCTTATCTACTAAGCTTGGGAAAGGTGTCCACATGTGTGTGTGTGTGAGAGAGAGATTGAGAGAAACTCTGTGCCTTAGGAAGACGTAGAGAAAGATGCAGGATAACTGAGAGCTGTGAGGTAGTTGTGTGGATGTAGGGAAGGCTGTGAGGAACCTTGTAAGCACCGGGGAAGGTAGCAGCAGTAAAGATGGAGGTCAAGGGAGAATTTTGCATCTGCTTCTGTCATTAGCAAATGGGAGGTGTAACTAGAAGACTGGAGGGGTGTAGATGTGCACCAGCTGAGTGCATACTGTTTGCAGTGTGGAATATGATTTTGAGATGGTCTTCTTAATAATTTGGAATATAAATGAGATGGAATATGTTCAATTTAGCAGTGCTTTGGAAAAATCAGCTGGATGGCCTTTTCTATGGAATGGCTGTCCTATAGGAATAGAAAATATATTGTTCTTTGTATTGGACAAATAACATATTTTAGTCTCATTTTTGGTATTCCTGTGAAAACCTGCACCATAGGTATTTTGGGACTGATTATCACAATGACGGCAGCTATTTATAACTAGGTATTGTGTAGCAGTGACCCTGGTACTTGGTCAACATGCAAGATGCACAAATGGATTGGCTGCCCCTACATTAGATTTCTTGAAGAGCTTTACACATATTATCTTGGTGCTCTTTATTCCCCAAAAGCAGGTGTGTGAGTGTCTAAATAATTTTGGACTTCGGAGCTATTGACCTTATAGCAGTGCTTCTCAACCTGTGGGTCCCTAGGTGTTTTGGCCTACAACCCCCAGAAATCCTAGCCAGTTTACCAGCTGTTAGGATTTTTGGGAGTTGAAGTCCAAAACATCCAGGGACTCACAGGTTGGGAACCACTGCTTTATAGGAACCTCCTTTGGACTTCACGTGCATTAATTCGGTGTCAAAGCACAACATTAACAGCTCCACTCTGTTTTAATCACATGCTTTAGGATTTTGGGGAGCTGAAGTCCAAAACATCTGTTAGGATTTTGAACCACCGACCTTCAGGTCTTCAGGTCAGCAATTCAGACAGCACAAGGGTTTAACCCATTCCACCACCGTAGTTCCAATGGATACATGAAATTGTGCATATTGATTCCACATACATATTTGTTCTGTGTCTGCACTGTGGTTGGACATTTTCCCTAGACACTACATTAGTAATATCTCCAATCTTTTCTTTGTTATTCGTTACAGGACCCTGTCAGGAAAACTATCCAGCAAGCTCCAAAGAACAGGACATACCTGAGGAGGAAGAATGGGATGCCCAGCTCTGTCAGGGTGAAAACTTTGACAACATGGCAGAGGAAGAACAGGAAGAAAAAAATGAAGTGCAGTTGGGTGAGCCCTTGGAGAAAACTAAAGGAGAGCAATCAAAAGCCAGTGAGAATGCAGCAGTGAAAGATGCAGTTGGTACAGAAGGAGGAGGCGTATTGAAAGAAAATAATGAGGATTCTCATAAAAAAGGGCAGGAAAACAACAGCAAGGAATTTCTTCCTATCCACCCCAGCTGTAATGTTCAGACTGAGAAAGCTGATGAGCTGACAGGCACGCTGAGAAAAAATGATATCTCCAGGCACAGCTATTCTCGGTACAATACAATATCTTATCGGAAGATCCGGAAAGGAAACACTAAACAGAGAATTGATGAATTTGAATCCATGATGCATTCATAAAACTGAGGCAGAGAATTCGATCGGCATGCTGCAATTCCTCTCTTCCTACTCACTACCACACCAGATATTCTTATACCTGTAATATCAAGCTATCCATTCTTTTTTGTGGCTTTGAACCAGCTAAAAATGACTAAGGATATAATCCTTACTACCGGGGAATAAGTCCCATTGACCATTTGAAGATTTACTTCCAAGAAAATATGCATAGGATTGGGCTGCAATCTTATTTGAAATAAGGTCCTCTTATTACAATGGGACTTTCTTCTGTGTAGACATATGTACATTTGGGTTATATCTCTGAGTGAAGCCAATAGAATGAATTAGTTATGGCTACCTTCAAGCCTATATCTGTCAGTGGGATGTAGCAAACATTAATTTTACCTGTCTTGACACTGGTATACGTAATTCAACTATATGCTTAAAAAAAGTAAACATTTATGCTTCATTCTGAAATAACAAGTACATGTAAGCTCAAATCAGCAATATGATAAATTTAGCATCAGTTGATTTCCATTTTTGGCACTGCAGTTGAGGAAAGAGACGGCTGTAGACTACTGGTAATCTTTCAAAAGCATCCAGATTAATCAACACTACTGCCCATTCTGGTGATTTTCTGACACACAGACTAGAGTTGAAAATACCATTACAATACAGTATAAACCATGATGCTGCAATTATTATGTTCTCTGTTTTAATAGGTTATATAACTGTTAAATGTGGTCTCTTGTACAAAATGTATCCGATTGTCTTTGGGGCCACTCAAGAATTATAACAATTGCATAATTTTCACTAAGGCATAGTCCGTCTTGTTATCCCGACCAGTTAACACCTTTAAGTGGCAGTCTGTTTACACCTGGGAATTAATGTTGTTTTAACACTGATGAAGAGGTGACATCCTCTACTTTGTCTGAGGGCAGTAGGTCAATTTAAGTTATGGCGGACTGCTTGGCTAGAAGATACAACTCTGCTCTTCAACAGAAAAGAAGTAGACAATTTCTGAAATACCATTAATACAATTAACCTCACATTTGCTAGTAGACTGTTTTTCATTTCAAACATTTGTAATCCCAAGTAATCAACTTTCAGACAAAGTACATCCACTACTGCTTGCAAAGCTGTCAGCACTGTTTTGGATTTAATTATACAGATACTGTTTCATCACAGTGCAATCAGCAAGTTGGTTTAATTACAGTATTTGTATTCTAGGTACTCCAGCTTTTACCATTCCAGTTTGTAAAATAAAATTAATTAGGAAATGTAAGATTATGAACTACACAGTGGTATCTCACTTCAACCAATTTGTTTAAAGATTTTTAAACTGTTTCCCCCCCTTTTTCCATCTTCACGGTTCAGCTAATAAAGACAAATAAAAAAATCTTTAAAAGACTACTGCAGATTATTTCCAAAGGAAAAGAAAATAGAGAAACTGCTCAGTTGCATTGTTGTGAATGGGAACAAAATAAACCTGAGAAAATTAATAGTAAAGGTGTAAGTTAAGGAGGCTCTCTTACTTTCCCCTATATTATTCATTTTTGCTGTGATTTATTTAAATTCACGATTGCTGCATATAAAACACGAGAGTCCCAGCTAGTGTAGGACACTGCTTCTTAAAGTTTAGTCTTCCAAGTGCGTGGCCAGTAGTCTGAGATTTTTTGAGCTGAAGTCCAAAATTTTTGACAGTCCAGTAGCTGAGAATCATGGATGTAGGAGAAAAGTCAAATGGATGTCTCTCTTGAGTCTTTGGCCGGATCTCCACTGTCACATAATGCAGTTTGAAATTCATTATACATTCAGATGCAGATCCAGCCCACTTTGAGGCACCTTGGCAAATAGGTCTACTTTAGTAACAATTACAATAAAATGAAAGCCATGTTTCTGTTCAAAAACATCTGAAACATTGAATAGAATTATGAAACTAATTCTTTATTTCTACCAGAACATAAAACTAATGGGGCCATCAGTAATAAAACTTTACTTTTGAGGATAACAGTGCATGACAATTCCTCCTTTGGAAAAAAATAATAATCTAGTATTGTTGTTGTTATTGCAGTGACAGTTTCTATGGACCAGTTTTTATGATGAAATTGTGTGTGAGCTAATACCTTACGTTTGCCTGTTTGTACCTGCAATATAAATTCAAAATTATGTAGTTTTCTACAGATTATCTCTCTAAAAAAATTAATGAAAAAAGCCTTTGGAACCTGTGATCATCACTGATGGAGAAAGGATGGATATGATGGTACTGTTTAAATGTGTTTTCTGTCAGCTGCTTTATCTTCCAGTTTGTACTTCTGTTGGAGAAAAGGTGGAATTCTACAGTTAGAATAAGCACCTCATCCTTGTGAATACAAGGTGTTGTAGACTATATTTCAGAAGAAGCAATTGGCAAAGCCATTTCTGAGTATTTCTTGCCTAAATAAAACCCTATGAAGAATTCATGAGATTATGATAAGAGATAACCTGAAAATACAGGACCTTAGCCCATGAACCTTGAGATCATCTATTTATCAAAGGGAATTGATCCCCAAGCATCCTGTTTTATGTTCTGCCTTCCCATCACACATTTCTCTCATCACACGTTTTCACTCCGTTGTTACCCACATTCCAAACTACCACAAGGAGTATAATTTTCTCTGCCTTCTATGTATTACTTTTTTAAAACCAGGGAAAACTTCAATATCGAAAGCAAAATTATTATGAACCTCATCCCATTTAGGGTGAAAAGCGGGGGAATATTAAACCCCCTTTGCCAGACTAGGATGCTGAACAATGGCTTCAAACTACAGGAAAGGAGATTCCACTTGAACATTAGGAAGAACTTCCTAACTGTGAGAGCTGTTCAGCAGTGGAACTCTCTGCCTGGAATGTGGTGGAGGCTCCTTCTTTAGAGGCTTTTAAACAGAGGCTGGGTGGCCATCTGTTGGGGGTGCTTTGAATGCAATTTCCCTGCTTCTTGGCAGAATGGGGTTGGACTTGATGGCCCACAAGGTCTCTTCCAACTCTATGATTCTATGATAAGTCTTTCTCATGCCTTCCTTCCCTTCATTTCACAAGTGTTATTATAAACCCCTTTGCCACAATCTCCTCTTGCAAGGCTTTGCTTCCCTTCATTATACTAGCACAATTATAAGCCACTTTGCCTAGATTACTATTGAGAATAAATGCAGTGGAAGCAAAGTGGTGAGGAACACCCTTTACTCCACATCACTGAAACAATTCAACACAGACAAATATGTACGATCTCATCCAATATGTTTTTGGCACTTTAGAAATGGAATATCATGCATCCTAGGCTCCTGAGATGATTTCTGATCATCTTCTCCCCCAGCCCCCTCCCTTTGTAAAGATTGCTTTAAATATTTACATTACGGAGCTTGACAGGTGCAGTCAGGAAGTCCCTCTGCATCATGGAATGGGCTTCATCACTTTCCATTCCCTAAATGGATTAAAACTGCAAAAATGAGGTTGTGGTGGGATAAGGTCCACAGACACACATTTTCTGTGCTACAAAGAGACAGGATTTCACTGCTAGCTGTGTAGTGGCTGCTTAAACATACAGGTAGTGTCTTCTATGGATGTCAAGCTTCATCGCAAGTAAGTGTGCCAAAACATAGCAATGTTGGGCAGAAAACTGAAATTACATTTTTTTAAACAGGTACTACTAATCCATCAATTGAACATAGTTTGCTACAGGTTTATTCGATAGTAAATTTCATATTTATGGCATGGTCAAATATTGTTTGGGATTTTTGTTGTTGTTCACCATACAAGCCAATTCTTTATTGTCTAAATAGAAAAGAAAGGAACAGTCCAGCATTGTGCAAGCCAAACACTAACTTCATTGTACTAGTGCAAGTTGTTTATTTGCCCCTCTAGGTTTCAGAGCCCCAGAGAATATCGCTCCCTGCATTATCGTATTGTAATTGCCATTGTTCTACAGGCAAGTCTGCGATTCTCAGGGGGAGCACATAGTTAAAGCTATTTCCTTCTGAGAACATGCCTCCTATTATGTGCCATTCTGATTAACCAGAAACAGAAAAGTGCTGGTTCTCTCTCTCTCTCTAATCCCTTTGGGGGTTAAATATTTGAGAGGAAATTATGTTTCTGATTAGTAATGACTTCACTATTTATTTTGCTCCTTGAAGTCAAATGGTGAACAAATAGCTCTTTTTACTCCAACATTACAGAAATTCTGCAGGTGCAACGTCTGCCATCTGCATGCATGAAATAGCTGAACCTGTTGAATGTATGTCATGCAACTATTAAAGGCTGGGGGCCTCTTCCTTCAAACTGAACTTGAAAAAGTAGTTTTTAAGATGGATATCATAAGATGCTAAAGCCATCCACAGCTGAGCAGCCTCTTGATTAGGACAGTATAATTTTATTAACACAGTCTAAGATCTCATTGTCTTTGGGGGTGGGCGCTTAATCACAAGTGTAACTATATCTTCCAACAAGTGTAACTATATCTTCACAGACTTTTGAGACTACTTTTCACTTTTATGTGGATTTTACTTCAAAATAATCAATTTGATCCTAAAGTGTATGCTTTAATGGTTTTCTTTTGAGCAAATAATTGTTTTGCAGTTCAGAAAAATGCAAAAACGGAAGCTTTTGGTGAGCAACCATTGACAAATGCATTGCAGAAGTGGGAGGGAGGGAAGGAAACAGACAGACACACTACTTTGGTGAAGCAGGTTAGCCATCGTAAATATGGAGATCTAACAAAATTCCCATTTTGACATTATTCTGATTCTAAAAAATATTGGAGCCTGTGAGATTGTCTAAGTCTTAATTTTCGAGTTATATGGAGCAAAGGGAACCCAAGAATAGGCATCCAGTCATCATCATTATTTTTGATCTTCTCTTTTGTACAGAGTAACAAAGAAAGTGGAGTGGCATGTCTATTTCCCTCCTTCCCACTTCTGCAATACATTTGTTAATGGTTAGTCAGGCCCGTGTTGCTAAAACTTTCATGTATTCCGAAAATTGCAAAAAAAAATTGCTATTGTGCTCTAACCTGCCTATCTGTTAAGGAGATTTGAGTTAGGGAATGAGTTTGATGGGCACATTTTATCTGAAGTCATTTCAAAATGTATCTCTGAACTAGAGAAGACTATGACTGAAATTGCAGTCAGGTATTCTTTCTGGCAAGATCAGAATGAAGGAATGTCCTGGGCTTCAGGAAAATGTCATCTTGATCAAAATGCAATTGTGAACTTTTCAACGTAGTCACCAAAGCAAGTCTCATTTCTTCAAGAAAAGGCCCATGGGTACAATCTCGGTGTGCTTCTCCATACAGTTTGTCATGCCAGGCATCCGCATGAGACACAGAAGATGATTTCTACAAAACCAGCACGGAAGCAAACACGTTGCATAAATGTAGAACGAGAGTGCAGCTGCTCTGATGTGAAATGCAATGTGACGGTGACATATGGCCACTCCATGCCTGCTCAATGACAAATGATGGAATGGCAGCACACAGGATATAATGAAATTCAAGCTTCTGATAAAACATCAGGCCACAGACAACATCTGTGTAATTTTTCTGATGGTGACTCCAGGGTAGCAACGGGAAGGGAGAGAGACATTAGCAAGACAGTTGGGAGTGAAGCTGACTGTGAAATCTATTAGGCAAATCAATATTTTGGCAGGTTTGGCTTGTCAAACATTGTCAGTGTTGATAGGTGATGTGAGGATAACATTATATGGGAGCCCTCTTGGACATAAAGCAGACTTGTAACAAGCTGTAAACATTATGGAGGATGAAAGCCTGGCTGTCATTTAAGCGTGCGCTGTGAGGGATGCATTCAGTAAAAAGCAATGAGGTAGGAGGATTGCAACTGACAAACCTTTTGCTTCAGATCTATCAGCCTGCCTTTGTGGACTGAGAAGACAATCCCATTAAAATGAACAAGACTCGTTAGTTACAACTCTTTTAAGTCCCACTGATTTCAATGAATACACTTTAAGGAGAATGAACACTGGATTTCACTCAATGGCTGTGAGAAGCAGGCACAGTTAGAGAATCCTAGAGTTGGAAGAGACCTTGTGGGCCATCCAGTCCAACCCCTGCCAAGAAGCAGGAACATTGCATTCAAAGCACCCCTGACAGATGGCCATCCAGTCTCTGTTTAAAAGTCTCCAAAAAGGAGCCTCCACCACACTCCGGGGTAGAGAATTCCACTGCTGAACAGCTCTCACAGTCAGGAAGTTCTTCCTAATGTTCAGATGGAATCTCCTTTCTTGTAGTTTGAAGGGCCTTCAAACTACCTACGTAGTTTTCAAGTATCTGCTCAGAAAGGAAAAACTTGACAAAAGCTAGGAAAAGACTTCAATGGTTCTTCCAAAAGCTACAGAAAAGTGGCTATTATTTTCACACAATAAAGAACCCAATAGGATTTCACACAATTCCCTCCGTGAGACTTAGGACCTCTTCACACATGCCTCTGTGTAAAATAGAGACTTAGGACCTCTTCACACATGCTGCTGGAATTACCATGTATCATAGCAAATCCAGAGGTGCTTGGCAGGGGGAACCCACCACTTCACATCACCTGACTCACTTGTTGCCCCATCCCACGAAGTGTCAACCATCTGGCTTTCAGACACCATTTGATGAGGTCGGAATTGCCTCCCATTTGATATTCACCTATCTTGTAGAATGCCAAAAAGAGGGATATCAATGCATATACAGTTTATGCTTGCATATAGGTTGTTCACACATATGCTGGCTATCTACTTAATCAAACAGGTTCCCCACTGGGTGAACCATCTGTTCCTGTACAGCTGTATGTGTGCAAGAACTTCCTTTTGATACATCCCATTGAACGCAGGGATGTTGGGGGTGGAGCTAGACAATATTCCACTGAGTTTGTGAGAGCTGTTCACTCTCAGAGTGTGGTGTACACTCCTTCTTTGGAGGCTTTTAAACAGAGGTTGGATGGCCACTGCAGGCCACTCTCCCCAATCCATGTGGACTAAGTAAGGTGACCTCTTCACACTTGCAGCCGGAGTTGCCATGCATCGTGGCAAGGAAGTTATAGGGAGGAGGGAGTAGGCTTGTTTTCTGCTGCCTGAAGACTAGGACGCAGAACAATGGCTTCAAACTACAAGAAAGGAGATTCCACCTGAACATGGGGAAGAACTTCCTAACTGTGAGAGCTGTTCACTCTCAGAGTGTGGTGTACACTCCTTCTTTGGAGGCTTTTAAACAGAGGTTGGATGGCCATCTGTTGGGGGTGCTTTGAATATGATTTTCCTGCTTCTCGGGAGGGGGTTGGACTGGGTGGCCCAGAGTTGGAAGACGAAGTCTCTTCCAACTCTAAGAGTCTATGAAATGGCAAAATCCCTGCAATGTGGAGTACACAATCAAAATAGCCCATTCTTTTAACCTTGTACCAGATGGGGAATCAGGCAGTTCTCCAAATATTGCTGAGCTGCAACTCCTATGCTGCCTAGGAGCAATGGAGTCACACTTAATGAACATTCCCTGATATACAAGAACACATGCAATTTTTGCCATGTTCTAAAAAAGTGACACCATATTGAATTGTTTTAGGAGAAAGAGAAACAAATTTCTGGTGTAGCAGGAGACCCGATATAATGTTGAAAGACTTGCTCTTTGTGTACTTACAGCTAATTTGTCCTGAAGAAATGTATTTTTTGAGGGGCACTCATTACTATTTTTGAAACGTCAGAGATAAGTGCATATCCCATGAAGTGAAAACCAGGATAGAGAGGGCTGATACAAAATTATGGTCTCTAAATTTTGGCCTGGACATGTCCCTGGTTTCTAAAAGGTGTCCACATGAAAGCTCTACTTGCACGCTTCTAAAGACACACAACCTCTGAGGGTGCCTGCCATAGATGTGGGCAAAACGTTAGGAAAGAATGCTTCTGGAACATGGCCATACAGCCTGCAAAACTCACAACAACCCTTCTTAAGGCAGTTTGAAATATTGGCTTTCTACCACAGACTTTTGCTATGAACAGCTGCCAGCTCATATACTCAGGCCATGGATTTTAGGAAGATCTGAGATATAAAAATACCCATATCCACAGGATGGTTATCCGTAGTTTCATTTAACAACATCTAACAAAACAAGTCATCTGTAAGCATTTGCTAGGTCTTCTAGCACAAGTCTTGCTCCAGAGGTCCTTCATTTCCACATGGTTCACTATTATCCATGGTTCTGTGTATCCATGCAAAGTCTGGGAACATATCCTCACAGATACATTGGATATTTTGAGCAGAGAGAAAGAGAAATAGAGAAAGCGAAAAAAGTAATTTCGACAGTCCTCTTTAAAAAACAAATCAATAAAAAACAACTAAGACTCACAAATAGTTTCAATGAGCCCTATTGTTTGATTCACTCTTCGGCAGCTGAGCTACCACAGTTCTAGCAAAAATGGGAATTAAGTTCTCTTTTCTGTCAGTTTTACTGTCCTCCCTCCCCCTGATTCCTGCCAAGTGCCCCTTGAGGTGACACACCTGGCTAACATCAAGACACATTAAATCAGCTGCGGCCTCGCTCCATCTTCTGATCTGTCCATATGCTTCTTTTAAATTGACGGGTTTCAATGGTGGTTTGGAAGTGAGCTGCCAGTTTTGCACTTGCTGCTATTAGGAGTTTCACAGCTGTCATTCTGGGATTCATTGGATTGCAAAGCAGCTCTCGTGTCTGGCTTGCTCATCTTTCTCTTCAGTCGGCATAGTAATTTCCAAACTGCCACTTCTGATACGGGTTGGAGGAGGAACAAATGTTTGCCCGCAGGACTTTCTGAGACTGATCAGCTTCCAAACATGTGGCCCGTGGAATATTTTCTAAGACAATGTGATCCGTCTAAGGAGAGAAAAAGACAACATTTTAATATATAGGACTGATAAAAGTGCTGCTAACTTGGCGCTAGAGAACAGCATCGCAAATGATGTCCTCTCTAGCCACCTCTGTTTAATATGTATATTTAATTTATAAGAGGGATCCTGGAAGGTATCCAAGACACCCACCCCTTCTCAGACCACAACTTTGCTATACCTTCTGTGCTGCATGGCTTGTTAATTTTGTGAAAGTGCAGATGACCCTTGCTTTCTGAATAGTAATTACTATGCAAAGGAAATAATCCCAGATGGCATTTGTAATATAGGATATTTTATAGCAGGAAATCTTGGCTTTCATATTGCATTATTTCTCAGAGGATGAAGTAGCACACTTATCATGATGAAAAGTGAGCTGGGCTTTGTTAATGAAGTCCGAGCACCAGGATATGAAAAAAAGGCTAGCTATGAAATTGTGAAGTTTTTAAATAAGCAGGGATTGTATTCTAAATATTTTACAGTTAGATACAACTATCTTTTACCTAATGAGATCTGCATTGCTTTCAAGGGATGGCATGGGTTTATGCAAAAAAGCACGAGTTAATAATGACAAGTATTGGACAAAATGATAACTGTTAAAGAATTGAGATACATGGCGATTGAGGAAGCTCAGAATAATTACATCGTGAGATCTATGTGACAGGGAATGTTCAAAATTGGTGATATCCACAGTGATGGAAAGCCAAGTTGAATATTCTGAATATCTGAAAACACACGTATATTTTCTTCCATTTTTAAGCTATAAAGAAGAGAAAGCTTGACAAGCCTAGTTGCACAGCCATCACTCTTTCCTAATGTCATCAGATTTCAGACATTCACATAATTTACTGTTTTTCCTGTACTGCTGAAGCATTTCCAATATCCAACCTAGCATATCTTGATGATCTAGCACAGGCATGGGCAAATTTTAACGAGAGGGGGCCGTATGCCAGGCCATGTGGGCCAGGCCTGGGAAGGCGAGCAAATTGAGGGTCACCATGGGGAGGGGAGGAAGCCTAGGGTGCGGTTGACACGGGGAGGGGGTAGGAGAAAGTGTGAGGAAGAAGAGAAGGGAAGAAGCAGGAGCACAAGTCAGAAAGCAAGGGGCGAGAAAGAGCTTTCACATGGCATAATGTAATGGAGAAAGACAGACTGCAAGGTAGAAAGGAGAGTCAAGGGTGTATGTGTGCATGAGAGAGAGTACAGAGTACATGTGGCAGAGTGAAGGGAGGAAGAGAGAAAGTGTGAGGCAGGAGGGAGAGGGGAATGAAGGCATGCTCGGCAGTGGAGGCAGCACTTGCTCTCTCCCTGGCCTCCTCCTCCTCCCCCTTCCCTTTCCCTCCGTTGGCTGCTCTGCTGTTCACCTTACTTGCTTGCCTTGCTGTCACTGAGAGATGCAACACCTTGGGGTTATTCCTACAGGCCTGTGGGCTGCTGTGTCCTTCCACCAAGAGGTGTAACATGCAGCTGGCTCCAGGGGCTGCTAGAACAACCCCAAAGGGTCGCATCCAGCTCGCGGGCCTGGGTTTGCCCATGCCTGAGCCAGCATCTCCATAAGATAGTGAAGAGTAGAGAGATCACACTGGCAACGAAGATCCACACAGTTAAAGCAAAGATATTCCTCGTAGAAACCTACTGATGTGAGAGCTGGACCATAAGGAAGGCTGAGCGAAAGAAGATAGATGCTTTTGATGCTTTTGTGTTGGAGGAAAATTCTGAGAGTGCCTTGGACCACAAGAAGGTCCAACCAGTCCATACTTCAGGAAATAAAGCCCGACTGCTCACTTGAGGGAAGGATAGTAGAGGCAAAGATGAAGTATTTTAGCCACATCATGAGAAGACCGGAAAGCTTAGGGAATACAATTATGCTGGGGAAAATGGAAGGAAAAAGAAAGAGGGGACAACCAAGGGCAAGATGGGTGGATGATATCCTTGAAGTGACTGGCTTGACTCTGAAGGAGCTGGGGGTGGCAACGGTTGAGAAGGAGCTTTGGTCTGGGGTGATCCATGAGGTCACGAAGAGTCGGAAGCAACTGAATGAATAAACAACAAAGATACAGCTAGTGATGAGCTGCATGCTTGAGTAAGCTAGTAGAGATGCAGCACCATAAACAGAGCTCTTACGGATTTTAGATACAATATTTTTCAGTGTTGTCAGTCCATATGTTCACATTTCAGCCATCAAATACAGTATTTTGCTCTAGGTCTGGCTTGCCCAGATTCATTACTGAATTTCACTATGCTCACTATTTCCCTAATTCTCTGTTTTGACACTGCCATGTGGTGTCAAGTGGTGTCAAACTGCATATAATTCTGCAGCGTAGATGCACCCTATGATTCACTATATTGGTTTCCATTGTTAATATGATTCAAGGCATTTATCTGTCAATCTAAGCAGTACTGGGGGGGGGGGGCGGGAGACGAAACACAAGTAAACAACAGCTGTGTATTCCTGGCAATGACCAGCATGGTGGGGGAAAGAAAGCATGACATAGCTTTTCTGCCCCTTCGAGTCCTCCCTCATTAAAGCAAATCTCTGAAAAGAGCCAGTAACCCATCACGAAGTGGCGACCTCAGTAATTAGTGACATACACGATTTCAGAAAAAAGAACATATAGTTCCATGGCTGTATCTCCTAGTATGATTTTTAACTGAAATGTTTCTATTTGCATGTAACCCAGTGCTGCACATGGTCAATTTGGAGAAATATTAGTTTGTGTCAATATGCCATCTTCAATCTACAGCTATATTTGGGTATGACAGACTAATTTTGATTAGTTGATGTTTACAAGAAACCTGGTAAACACTCTTAGCATTACAATCTCTGAACTTGCTTGTACCCCTGAAATCATTTCTATTTTCTGGAGAATGTTCCCTACATCGCCAAATGTTTATATTTTCTAATTTTTCTTACAATAAGGCTCAATCAAATAAAAGGTTTATTACTTAGAGAAGAACATGACTAATTTTCATTTAGAAACAGTTGATACTAACACATTTACAGTGATTAAGGATCTAGGACAGTGGTTCTCAACCTGGGGTCCCCAGATGTTTTTGGCCTACAACTCCCAGAAATCCCAGCCAGTTTACCAGCTGTTAGGGTTTCTGGAAGTTGAAGGCCAAAAACATCTGGGGACCCCAGGTTGAGAACCACTGATCTAGGAGATAATGCAATTAATTGTCCCTCCACATTTTAGTTAAGCATTTGTGACTTGATTATTCATGCATTACTGTATTTGCCTACTTCTGGTGAACCTAAAAATGCCTAGAGAAAATGCCTAGAGTAGTGGTTCCCAACCTTTGGGCCTCCCGGTATTTTGGACTTCAGCTCCTACAGTTCTTAACATCTAATAAGCTGGCTGGGATTTCTGGGAGCTGAAGTCCAAAACACCTGGAGGTCCAAAGGTTGGCATTTTTAGGTTCACCAGAAGTAGACCAATCATACTAGAGGGCCTTGAAATGCCTAGAGAAGTGTTCTCTAGGGTTGAAAAATAGCATTTGTGATTTTTATTTGTATTCATGTTTTTGCACATTTTTTGCACTCTGTGCTTCTTCCCTTAGCAGATGTGGAGGGACTATTTCACATGAACAGCTTCATTGATATGCTGGTCCTTATGAAATTCAACATG